CGAGAAGAGTACAACACCTGAAACAACTAGTAACTAAGAAGTTTCTCATTATAGAATATCAACGTGTGTGCTAAGAAGAGGAAGTTCACTGGTCAACTATACCGGCCTCATTATCTTAAGACAATTTGCGTGAAATAATCTAATTCTTATTCAACAAAACCACAACAGGGACAAGGTGTTCCGGCATGTTCCGTGGCGCTCTCCATCCGCCGGCAACTCAATGTGGACCTGATTCTGTTATCGTCAGAGCTTGCAATTTTTGCAAGGCATCGTTTGCGCCTCTGTAAGGATCGAATTCGTGGTTCAGAGTGCAGACATGGGACTACACTCCTCACCACTCGGAAAGGTGGTGTCCCTGCCTTGCTGAAAGGTGACCCATACAAACTATCTGACACCCTGATAACGACTGTGACGTCCTTTTCTTGGGCCGGCGCAATCTATTTATAATAGCACCATTAGGTCCAGTTAGGCACCACCAACTTTCATCAAGGTCGTTTTCTCGAGATAAAGTTTCCGATCACGAATATAACGGTCATTTCTCGTGGAACGCAGCCATAGCGGATACTGATCGGATCCGATCGCTAGCATTTAGGGAGAAATAGTGAGAGTGGGAGGGTACCAGATCGTGAGATCAAGCGTGATAAAATAAAAAAGTATGCAGTGGTGGTTGCAAAACAGGAACGCTGCTACTTTATATTCTTATGTAACACCCCCGACTCTGCTATAGTCCTCCAGAACACTACCGGCCAGCACCGATCGATTCTCGTCCGTGGCTGTGTTCGTCATAGACGCGCGTCATCGCGAAGTCTGAACGCAGCTTTAGCAGAGCACATGCGACCAGAGAGGTGCGGCCTAGTTTTACAGCATGGGTCTCTACAACGGCGAACGAAGTAAATGTTATATCCGTAGTCAAGACCCTCAATTACCCCACAATGCAATGTAGATAATTCAATGTTTTATAACAATCGCAGTGCTTGTTTACAAAGAGGTTAGTGAGGAAAGTGTTGGGGACAGAAAAGCTGTAGCATCCGTGATAAGACGACCGGATAACTTCGACGGTTCCAGAAGAAAGAGTTTTCGCCGTGTTCTGGGCACATCCTACCGCTGGAGAAAGTTTTTGGAAAGCGCAACCCCCCAAGTTTCGTCGCCTTATACGACCCCCCCCCTCGTCCTGCTCAACGTCCCAACTTTCCCTACACATTTTCCGAATATTTCCTAAGAATTTTCCAGTTTTTTTTTCAGAATTTTCCTGCGAGTGGAGGGCGAGAGGGGACATATAGCACATGTGAAAAGGAGGAAAATATGAAAAGTCAAAGGGGAAAAAAATTTCTCAACACAGCAAATCCACTAGGGAACACGACCCCCCCCCCCGCGAGTAATTTTCAGAAAGTCGAAATAACGCCCGCGAAACATGATACAACTATTAAAAATAATTTTCCCGGATCAAATAGGACCCCTCCTCTTTCCCTCCCCCCAGCAACCGAATACGACACCCCCTCCTTGGGGATTCCCAAGCGTACGACGTGGTCTGGTTATAGCTGAATGGTGGCGAAGAGAAAATGTGCCGATTGCGTCGATCAAAAAAAAGAAGTAGAATTATTTCCTAAAATAACAGATCTTGCGCAGGTATTTCGAATATTTCAAAGGGAGGCTCTAACACTCTGAATGGGATGGGAGGAACTGTTGAAGTGCCAGTGCGGGGGAAAAGTCAGCAAAGGGGCACTAGAAAGACTCGCGCAAAACCGGGATTACTGGACTCCCTTTTTGCGCATACTGGCTGGTGACCAAAGGCTCCCTCCCTCCAGGCGAAAATTTCCATCCCCAACAGCAATCCCAGTTTTGCGAAAGCTTAGTGAATGTTCCCTTTAGCTAACTTATACCGCGCTGCTTTCAACAGGACAAATACGGTCATTATCATCGAAAGGGTTGAGGCGTGTTGTCTGGGCATAGATGTTGTCGTGGCGACAGCCCTTTTCCTACCACCGTTGAACCTCGAGATTGCAGTGATTGGTGCAAAAAGCGTTAGAGCGCTTACAGCGCCAAAATCCAGCGCTGTTGGCACGCCTCGACTTACTCCAGTGACAAGTGTACGGTATTTGCAGCTTGTGCGGCGTCTGGCGATGCTGAAGTCTGTCTCCTATCACTACACCCTCCGCAGCGACAATCATATCTGGATCATATGAGTCTAGGAAACTCTCACATCCCTCTGAGGCAAGGTGTACTCGCGAAATCGCCTCCCGTTTTTCAGATATTTCACTTATTGAATTTCTATTGAATAGGGTCTTCATAAGGGGAAAAAACCCGGAAAACATACCAAAAACAATGAACACTGCATTCACAAGTATCGTTCGTGGTTCTTTCGGGAACACATCGCCAAATCCTGAATGACTTCACATCATAATCAGTATAAAACAAGCACGGTTCAACCTGTATGAATCTGGCAATCAGTCGAGGCAGTGTGTGGAGGGGTGGAATGATCCCACCCCGGCTGCATTTTCTATCAATGATGACCGGTTACTGATCGACTTACGAAAAAGCAACCAATGGCAGAAAACTCCGCGGATGCCTTATTCCCTGGCACGCATTCCATGCCTCCTGACCCTCCACGAGCGATTGCCACGATACCAACTGCATATGCAACTTAATAATGGTCAATATGTTTCATGGATGTCAATCCTCACCAATAAGGGCAACACTGTTGAAGAGAAAATAAACGGAGGTAAAGTAGTCGAATTCTGTTGTTATTGAGAACATTAATGATGAGAGTAGTATGTAAAGAACGAAGAATAGAACGCCAGCGATAAAAACACGGCGTTGTTCATCTAACAGTGACTTTTGCCCTGAAATGACCAGATTTGATTTTGCATTAAGCAGTTCAGATTCGAGTCAACAGGGAAAACAAGAACTTTAAACTTTCACTTTGAATTTCAAATCAAGTTCACCATACGTTTTAGACCGGGCAATTCATCGACCAGATCACGCCGGACACTACCGTCCCGACGGCCACGCCCACTCATCAGCGCGGACATAAATTTTCAAATTTTGTTTCATAACTTCTGCTTCTATGACTTTTTTGTCTTTTGCTGTTTCGCACATACACTTTGACTGAAAAGGACTGGACATCAACACATGGTCGACTCCGCCCATTTTAAAAGTGCTTGTTGTTAACTTCGAATTTTCATGACTTCTTTCGACTCTGTTAATTTCACATCCATTCTTCATGGACCGGCGGTACTCGTAGACGCGCATTTAAGCACCGACACATCAAGCCCCCTTTGCCGCGCCTACTTTGCATCTCCTTGCGAAATTTTGATCTCTTTTTTTCAGAATTTCTGTTTCGGACTGTACAGAAAGCCCCGCCCTCTTCTTAGAAGCTCCGCCCACTTTGTAGTGCTCCGTCCAGAGATTTGGGAAACGTATTCGCCACATTTGAGAGAGATACGCTGCAAAGAGCTCTTGAAGAGAGAAAAGATCAAAGATGACACGAGTTCACTAACAGAGTTTTTCTATAAACTTTTAGTTCAACCTAATTTTGGTGAGTGGAATCAAAAGTGGCGCTTCTACTCATTACGCTAGTCTGCATTGAGGATGTAGATGGGAAGAGCCCGGGTCTATAGGGTTTCTTCCCAGTCGCGACATCGCGCGCCCTCGTAGAGTATTTCCTAACTAGGCCTCGGAGAACTGCTACGTTAAGTGCATTGGGGCCTGGTGCAGAGGTTGTGCACATCACACTGATTGCAACATCCATTTCGTCGCGCTCGCTGCGACTGTGTAGTAACGCAGCACACCCGAAGAGGTCAGCTAGTGAAACCTTTAGTTGGTCCAATTTGATGCAGAGTAAAACACATTATAGTAAGCCACACATAACCCATAAAATGAAAAATCAATAGCCGTCAGCATGAGGGAACTTCCGTTCGTAGTTACCTAAAAGTGATGTGGTACTGTATTTCCTTGCGAATCGTGTTTTCTTCGCTTGTATCTCGTCGTTAAGTAAATCATGATGTATCACATTGTTTGTTGCACCTGAAACACTAGAAACATAGAGCATAAACTCCCCAGCTGTGATACTTCTATTTTTTTTACTGATACCCGCCTTTTTATTTTTTTTATCGATACCCACCTATGGTTGTGGTGGAGCGCCATCGTAACGGTAGCGCCTTAACGCCCGTCATCGTCAAGTTTGAACGCATCCCTTTGTGCAGCAAATGTGGTCGGAGGGACTATGTTGGCAGTCAGCTCTTCTTTAACTTACTATTTCGTCGGCAAAACCTTGCCATCACTCACACTTCACTACAGTCGTCATCCGGGCACTTGATTAGGGCGGCAAGGGTCGCGACGCGGCTGCGGCGCGTCACGACCGCGGCGATCAGCTGTTTCCAGCCTAATTTGGCCATTTTCTCCCTAATTTTCACTGTATTTTCTATTTTTTAAGGTTAGTTGTTTTATTGTCTTTATGAAGTGTATTAGGACGGGCAGGGACTTTTTTTATTTTGCAATAGAGTGCAATGCAATAATATTTTTGAATTTTCTCCAGGTATTTGCTCAATCGTCTGCTCAACTGTTTAATTGTACGCAAAAATAGTAGGAATCTCAAACATAATTTCTTGTGAAGACAAGGAACAACTAATCGTGAGAAAAGCAGCCAAAACAGCGTAAATTAGGGAGAAAATGGCTAAAATAGGCTGGAAACAGCTGATCGCCGCGCTCGTGACACGCCGCAGCCGCGTCGCGACCCTTGCCGCCCTAATCAAGTCCCCGGATGACGACTGTACTTCACTTTTCAGAGTCTAGGTAAGTTAGGTGTTTCACTTTTGAAGTTTGTAAGTGGGAGTAGGTTGGCTTTGACATATGGATTTCCTACTCATTTTGCGTGAGGTGGTAATCGCAAGATGAGCCGTCTCCAGCCGGTGTGTGAGGACATTCACATCGAGGTAACTCCCCACAGTTGGTTAGATGGGTCCACGCGATACCGCGATCACTACCGCGCGCGGATACAAGGCGGAACTCTGTAAGTTGAGATCAATCGCTGTTTTTAGAATAATTGATAGGAAGGAAATGTCTGGGAAATTGACCATAAAAAATGCCAAAGGTTGGGGGATAGCACACCTGTTGAGGGATCGGAAATTGAAGTTTGTAGTGAACGACACTATGGGAGTTTTCTTTGTGAAGACATTCCACAACAACTTCAAAAAAACTTTCAGCTAATAAAATGTCTTTCTGCGAGAATCGATCACCATTTCTTTTTTCAACACTGCTTTGCAGTCTTCGTTTGAGCTTTCTTCTGTGAGGGCTTCTGATAGAGTAAAAAATTTCCTACTCCTAATCTCTCACTATTCCCTCGACGCATCCTTTGCCGTTCCTTTTTGTGACCATGGCATTTAGAAATGCCTTTTCCATTTTTTTGCAACTGTTTCAACTTGAAGGTCTCATTTAGGCAGCGTTCAGATTTCGCGACGGCAGCGCTTCGGTCGCGCGTTCGACGCGATCGATGCGCATGCTTTCGACTGCATTGATCGCGTCGAACCGCAACCGAAGCGCTGCCGTCGCGAAGTCTGAACGCTGTTTTAGTGTTCGCGCGCGCGGCAGTAACGATGTCTCGCGGACTGATCTACAGGACTTTGAGGTAGTTTAAGTTCGATCAACTTTACATGTGTCCTTTACGTTGGAAACCTGTCGCACTTCTACACTGTTTGACTTTTGTTATGAGACGAAGATACCGATTACTTTTGATGCATAACTTTCTGATGACAAGATGCTCACCATTTTGTTCTGCGTTTGGAGTCCCTTCGGGATCTTCCGCTCCATTCCTCGATCCTGAATTCAGCACTCTGGTTATAATTGGAATAAATGTGTGGTATTTGTTGTTAGAACTGTTCAAGGTAGATTAACGTAGCACACACGTTTGGCAAGGATTGTAAGGTGCTGGGGTCACCACATATTCACCACCTCGACTCGCAAGCAGACCACGTCGTACGCCGGGAACCTCCAGCGGGAGAGGGGCCGCGTTTCGTCGCTGTGGGGGGATGGGATCGTAGTTGGTCTGAGGGTTTTTTGAGAGTTGATTTTTCTTGTTTCACGCTATAAAGGGGATCGTGTTTGCCTCTGAGAAAAATTTGCGGCGACAAAAATCTTCTTGGTTATTGACTTTTTGCGGTTTCCCAAATTCACGTGTGCTGTATACCCATATAGCCCCACGCTCGACAGCAACATTTCGGGAAAAAACAGGAAAATTTCGGAGTAGTTCCGAAAAAACTGGGAAAGGAGTAAAAGGGTAGGAAGTTGGAAAAATCTTGGAAAGTTTGGTAGTGGGGAAGAGGGGTGGGGGTCGTATCAGAGGAGGGAATTGAGGGGGTCGTATTCTCTGGAAATTTTCTCCAGCGGCAGGGCGTGCCCTGCTCACAGGGAACAATGATCTCGTACAGCTGGGGAAAGGGATGTGAAAATGTAAGCCCGCCCTTCACCTCAAAAAGGGCAATGTTTTAGTACCGTTGGAAGGGGGGGGGTCGCAATGTGCTAGGCTAGGCCACGCCCATTCTGTGCTCAACTAAGCTGCTGGACGGGACTACATGGGAAGAGGTCACTGGGCGAACACTGTCTCCTTGGGAAGACAGAGACGAACAGAAGGGGCGGACATGGCTTGGTGCTGGTGCTCTCCGGCCCACCCTATATGCACTGTCCCCGAGGGTAAAGTATTCCGAGAAACTGGAAGCCAAGCAGTCGCTGTTCTGCCGTGGATTCTTTTCTTAAAACGGTTCTTTCCATGTGCAAGAAGAACGGGTCGCAGCTGTACAAATGTAATACTTTCATCATTTGAAAGCATGTGGAAATGAGCTGAAGGGGAGTGACAACCGGATGCCTTTTGGGACGCCGCTTGCGCTATTCTCAGGGTGCGGTGCTTGTGCCGATATTTTGTAGATAGCCTAGCGGAGAAACTCCGCAGTGAACACGCACTGGTATGTGGCAAGAGAATCGTAATTCGCCGCGCCAGTGGGCGTCGCGTGCGACGTCGCGCCGCTAATGACGACGATTTTAGGTGGTATTGGTCGAGAATAGACAATGTATGACCAAAAATAGACATAAGTGTCTACCATGTCCTTGTCTACATGAAAACTGATGCTCCAAATGTTAGGGCAAATCAATTAAACGCCGCGCCCTTTGCCGCGCGCGACGAAGCGGCATTATACGATTCTCTTTCACGTCTCCGGTGCGCTAGCGCGGTCGGATTCACAAAGGGCCCGCGCGCTACCACTATACTTTTTTATACTCTAGCCCCATTCCCGTGCACTTTTGAGTGCGAGAACATGAGACGCCACTGCAGCTGCGAAGTAATTCATCTCTCACATGGCACGAACTCCCTCTATCTGTAAACGTATACCTTGCACTTTGGCCGATCGAGTGACTTACCGAAGTTGAAGTTACAACCACAGTGTTTTCGCCTCCATTTGCTGATACGATTATAAATAAAGATGAACACATTGCGAAACAGGTTTCCTTCTTCTTTAACGAAAAGCAAAAAACAATGGAATCCCTAAATAAGGTCGAAAGTAAGTAGAACCGGGATTATGAGTTCATGGATAGTAATTACTCGACGTACCAAACGCTCCGTAGATAATTGTGGCCATTCGGCACTGCGGCGTGTCAGCTGCCATATTTCCATAGCCTATTGTAGTGTAGACACTGAAACTCCCAGTGTGATGCGTTTATTGAGCCACTTCTCATATCGTAGCAATCCGACGAGGCGGTGTCTGAAGCCGTGAAATGGACCAGCCCGCGACCCCGTTTTCCACACTAGTGGTCGGTTCAGGCACAAAACAAGATAGTCAGAAGTAGAAAATGCCACGTGTGGGCTCATTCCACGCCTCTTGACGCAGTCCGGTCGGAATGCGATGATAGTATATTCTTTACATAATATTAGGTTGTCCGGAAAGTTCTCAGCGTTTTGTGTTACTATTTTTTGTACATTCATTGCTGATTACAAACTCATTCTCCCTTGCTTCTCAGTAGTACATCGTTGACAGAATTTTTTTGTGCCAGATGGTATAATTGCCATTTCACCACTTGCTTGATATACCCCCTTTCCCAAGACTTTTTGAAGCATGTCAAAAGAGCAACTTCGGACGATATTTTTCTTCAACTACAAATTGGGTCAATCCGCAGTCGAGACAGCTCGACAAATTAACCAGGTGTGGGGGCCCAATAGTGTTGGAGAAAGCACCGTGCGACAATGGTTCGACAAATTTCGTTCTGGAGATTTCAGCCTTGAAGATGAACCTCGTAGCGGTCGACCAAGCAATACCTGACGAGGATTTGAAGGCGTTTGTGGAGGCTGACCCATCCCAAACAGTTCGAGAGATTGCAGAAAAGCTAGGCGTTGGCAAATCCACTGTTGCGGATGGTCTGAAACGCATTGGGAAGGTGAAAAAACTCGACAAGTGGGTGCCCCACAATTTGAGTGACCGGCAGAAATTGGCACGTCAGGTTTCTTCTTCACTGCTTTTGCGCAACAGAAACGACCCGTTTTTGGACCGAATTGTCACCTGTGATGAAAAGTGGATCATGTATGATAACAGGAGACGTTCCGGACAGTGGTTGGATGCCGACGAACCACCGAGGCAATTTCCAAAGCCGAATCCTCACGAAAAAAATTATGGTCACAGTGTGGTGGTCATCGGCTGGTGTGATCCACTATAACTTTTTGTCACCAGGCCAAACCATCACAGCAGAGTCCTACTGTGAAGAAATCGACGAAATGTACCGAAAATTGCGTCAGCTGCAGCCAGCACTTGTCAACAGAAAGGGTCCGATTCTTTTGCATGACAACGCCCGCCCACACGTTTCACAAATCACTATCCATAAATTGAACGAATTGGGGGTTGAAGTTCTACCTCACCCGCCATATTCTCCAGACCTTTCACCAACCGACTATCACCTTTTCAAACATTTTCAGAACTTCCTTGCTGGAAAATACTTCATCAATCAGGACCAGGCAAAAAAGCCGTGGATTCTCGACCACCCAGTTTTTTTCTTTGATGGGACTTATTGACTGGTTCACATTGGCAAAAAGTGTGCTGATTCGAACGGTGCTTATTTCGATCAAATCCGATGAGTATTAAGAAAGTTATGATCGTTTAAAGTGAAACACTCAAAACGCTGAGAACTTTCCGGACAACCTAATAAAAAAGACAGGGTAAGCCGGCATCAAGATTTTGAGCTTTTTTCCTCTCGTAGAAGGTTCGAAGACTAATTCAACATCTTCTGATACAATCTAGCCACTGATTCTCATAGCAATTGAACTCGAATGTTTCACAGTCAAATCTGAAGGTTTGTAATATCGCAGTCAGTCGGAGGCAGTGATAGAAGGGCGAGATAAGTCCGCCCCGTCTGCTTTGCTCTACCAATGGTGATCGCTCAGCGACCGATTTAGGGAGAAACCAACCAATGGTGAAAATGCCGCGAGTGGGGTCAGTCCATCCCTTTTGAAAGCGCCCCGACCGATTGCGACGCTAACAACTGTCCCTACAGAGAAAGGCAGCGGGTGCGGCGAAAATCTACCCTCGTGGACTTTTTAGCAGGTAGCACAGCAAATCAGTAAGGACGATACGCGTTCCAGAAATCCAACTCAGTCCAATGCCAAGCAGCAATGGTGTGGAGTGTTACCTCCCAGTCACGGAATTGCGGTACGAATTGACTTGGGAGACAGAGTCGAAGCGCAGCGCAGCTGCAATCTCAACATGGCAGCGGCTCTGCGCCTCGACTCTGTCTCTCAAGTCAACTCATATGGCGATGCCGCGATAGCGGAGTAGCGCCCAATCAAGAATATCTTTCTACAGTTAGCGGCGGACGACCGGGAACCTGACTTCTTAAACGCCCGCTGTTTATTCACAAATTCAAATCAGCATTCATATGTATTTTCTTTTCTGGGAACAAAAGAAACACATCCCCGGTTAGGCGATCGCGATTCTATTTTACTACTCACTTATACTCTAGTTCATAACTGGTGTACCCCAAAAGGAAAGCTTGCCGCCATCTTACATGCTCTCATCTATGCCTCCACTGATACACTTGAACCGTGCGGCTATATGTTAAGATCTGGGCGCTGTTTATCGACGGGGGGGGGGGCATTCTGCTTTTCATAGATTTGCCAACCCATCTAGGTACCCTTTTTTCGAGTTGACACGTTTTAGGATGGTGGCTAGACGATCTTGCTCCAGCTTCACAAGCGTTCACAAGTTTTACCAGAGTGAGATTTGTAAACCGGAACCAGGGAAGCAATTATAATACAAAATGCCCCCCGTCGATAAACAGCGCCGAAGACCTGCTGGAGGCGGAATTGGCTCTGTGATGGATCGGTGGTCTTATGGGCATAACATCAGTTGTTGCGGTCTTGGAAAGGCATCTTTGATTGGGAAAGCTGCCCTGACTCCGCTCCAATTTACGCATTTTCACTCCCCCCTATCGCCCGCAGAAATAAGACTGATGTACTAAATGAAACACTATAGCGATTATCTCATATCGCTTTGAGTGGTAGTTTTTAGGAATTAAGCAATTAATTTTTCTCACTCAAAAAAACAAGAAGCTAATGCATCACCCCAGCACTGCATTTGACGAAGTCTTTTTCACTCAGATTCGAAATTGATATTGAACATATGAGACTTTGTGCTACTAATTTCATTTTTCTCGGTGCTTTTGTGTCAGGAAAGTCACTGCCTATTATCTTCATCAAGGGCACAGCGATTGAAAGAAATCCACAAGAGCATCACGCGCTGATGCTCCATGATTATTACATCTGGTCGTTTTATTAGATTACACGAAGCAATAGTGTTTCCCAGAAACTGCAGAGCTTCCCTTATTATGGAGCGTATGTCCGCAAAAAAAGGAGGCATCGTTTACCAGTTACTGCGCAACTTGCTTCTCCCAGCAGTTCTGAAAAAAGCTCTCTAACCATATACTCTTCTGAGTCTTTGGTCGTGAGGGAGGGACTAAAGAAGGCAGAAGAGCCTCAGTTCCGCTCAGTGATAGACTGGGATCAAATGAACGCTTAAGTCCCATAAAGCTCATGCATGCCTTTTCTAGTCCCTTCGTTTGAAAGCAACCAACGCCCAGCTTCAGTGAAACTACATATGCCTGCCATCCATGAATTCAGCTGCCTCATTAGTCCCGTTGGGCGTTCTTTATAGTCCACAATTGCCATGGAGGTGGTGCAGGACATTCATTTCTTACTGAGAACTGAATTCTTTCAACACACTGACGACAATCCCACTATTCAAGAAAACGTCGTGTGGGACAATGACAGCTTTTTGCCTGCCCCCATTATCAGCCACCGGTGCTCATAATGGCCCTCGTGTACCGTTTTTTTTTTGCTTTTTGATACTCGCTCGAAAACATTACCAGATACCACCACAAGCCTTGACCCCACCGCTACAAATCAGCGCGACAGTACCTTTTCGAATTCGCATTTCCTTCTGCTTCTGGGGCTTTTTCGCCCTTTGCTATTTTACACATGTGCACTAACTTTAAAGGGTTTGCATCAAGAATTAAACAAGATCAACCACTGCGGAAAGCCCCGCTCATCTTGACGTGGACCCCCAATCGTTGTGAGTTGATGTCCTGAGTTATGGCATTACAGTCTCGCTCGTCGCACGGAATCAAAAAGGCAAGGTTGTGACGCCAAAATGGCGCCAAATCACATCGGCGCTAGAAGAAAGAATGATAATTCGTAATCAGCACGCCATCGTTAACAAGTTCATGCGGAATTAGGGTCAAACAGGTACTCCGCTTACTTGGCGCCCATAGACGCAAATAGCGCCGGCTCCAAAAACAAGTGTCATATTCGTGGTCAATTCTCTGAATAGTTCTCACGCTCACGAAAAACAACCCCGAGGTTATTGGCGAAGGAGGTCAGTTGAGAAAATTTGTCAATTTTTGACTTACATGAGTAATGACTTAGTCAGTAGCACCTTTTAGTCCATTAGAAACGAATAAGTTATAACTTCTCCCTGCCCTGAGTTGAAACGAATAAGTTATAACTTCTCCCTGCCCTGAGTTATCAAACAAATTCAAACGTCGACGTAATTTACTCCAATTTCAGTAAAGCCTTTGATAAGTTATCGCATAAGTTCTTGATAAAATCCTGGCCTTTCACCGTATTCACCCCTTGATGGTGAACTGGATTCAAAATTTTCTTCATAATATGGACATTCCAAGTTCGGCTTGGAGATCCTTTGTCATGTGCAAATAACTGACGGCTTAAGGTACTAAGAGCTCATAATTTATTTGAAGTTCTTCAGACTAAAGGTCCCCTCATTTGACGTTGCATAAGCTATTAATACGTATATGCGCGACAATATTAAAATACGGAACTACTGTTTCCAGTTCCCTATTCAGAACAGGATATTCAGACACTCGATTGTGTACAGCACAATTTCACTTGTGAATTATGCTTCGATGTTCGGGGCTAAATTACATTGAAATTCGAGGCGGGTTAGTAAGGAATAAGGAATATGGCTTACTAACTCCTTGGTGGAAAGGAGGAGATAGCCTTTCTAAAATAAGGAACCGTAAGAAACCTAGTGGTGTATTAGTGCGAACGACTGATTTGAGCTTTACTTGTGATTGTCATTATTTGGATTCAATTCACATGTCCGTCAACATGTCTAC